CAAGATGAAAAATGGATATGCGCACCTGCCAAATGTGGCCTTTTAGCCCCCAAACAATCCGACAAGCCTATGCATGAGTGGTATCACTGTACTCGGGAGATATTGCTGAACATATATTAGTGTCTTTTTTGGCAGCAAGACATAACAGAATCTGTAAGTTTATACCTGAATTGCAATGTATGTAAAAAAAAAAACAAAAAAAAAACTATCTATGCAAAGTTTGGCAAAGACTTGTGGTAAAATGGCTGCATAGAAGGTGTCAAAATATCCTTAGATGAATACCCTGGGTTGTCTACTTTAAAAAAATATATATACATGTGGAGTGTTTTCCAGAGATTTATGACAGATAATAGTGTTACAATGTCACTATTGATACATTTTAAAAATGTTTGTTTTGAAACCGCCATATCCTACTTGTACCTATAGCCCTATAACTTGCAAAAAAAAAGCAAAAAAGCACATAAACACTGGGTATTTTTAAACTCGGGACAAAATTTTGAATCTATTAAGCTGTTTTTTTCATCCGCTTTTGCAGATGAGTAAAAGATTTTTCAAGTAAAAGTAAAAAAACATGTATTTTTTTCAATTTTTCATCATTTTTTTTTTTTTAAATTAAAATACGTGAGATTATATAAATAATGGTATGTAAAGAAAGCCCCTTTTGTCCTGAAAAAAAACAATATATAATTTGTATGGGAACAGTAAATGAGAGAGCGGAAAATTACAGCTAAACACAAACACCAGAAAAGTGTAAAAATATTCCTGGTCGCAAATGTACAACATCGCAAAAACAGTCCAGTCCTTAAGGGGTTAAAGGACTTTAGGCTTAGGGAGGATTTTAACCCCTTAAGGACCAAACTTCTGGAATAAAAGGGAATCATGGCATGTCACACATGTCATGTGTCCTTAAGGGGTTAAATTGTGCGGGAGGTCGTTCCACAATTGCGGTGCTCTGTAGGAGAAGGAGGATCGGGCCGTTTTCTTTCTGTATTGAGGTAGACTAAGTAAAGTGTGGGTACTGGATCGGAGCTTATAGGAAGCGGGAACAGCCAGGGAAAGCATTTTGTTCAGGTAGGGTGGGAGTTTCCCAGAAAAGCTCTTAAACACAAGGCTGGAAAGATGAAGGGTGCGTCTGGATTCCAGCGACAGCCAGTTTAATTCTTTTAGCATGTCACAATGGTGGGTCCTGTAATTAGATTGTAACACAAATCGGCAGAACGAGTTATACAATGTATTCATTTTATTAATGTGGGATTGCGATGCAGATGCATATACTACATCCCCTTAATCAATGATTGGCATCAGCATTTGCTGTACAATCTTTTCCTTTACTGTAGGGCTTAGGCAGGATTTGTTTCTGTACAGGGCACCTAGTTTTGGATAAAGTTTAGATGCAAGCTTTTCTATGTGCAGGCCAAAAGATAGATTGGGGTCTAATATCATACCCAAGCAGTGGCGTACTAAGGGGGGGGCGGGGTCCGCCCCGGGTGCCACCAGGGTGGGGGGTGCCATGGCCAGCCCCGCCCCCCCCCCCATGCTGCAGCCGCCAAGCACAGAATCCGCCCCGGGTGCCAAATGCTCTAGGTATGCCCCTGTACCCAAGTATTTGAAAGACTGGACTGCGGTCAGTGTGCTATTTGAATTTGTTTTGATGGATAGGTGGGAATTGTGTAATTTGTGTAGTTTAGGTACTGTTCCTAAGATCATTGTGACAGTTTTGTCAGTGTTCAGGAAGAGTTCGTTTTTTGCGATCCACCTTTCTACCTCTGTAAACTGGTCTTGGAGCACAGCCTCAAGTTGCGGTAGATCGGATTTGCTCGCATAGATTACAGTGTCATCTGCGTACATGTGTACATTTGAGGATTGGCAGACATTAGGCAGATCATTTATAAATAATGTAAATAGTAGGGGGCCGAGAATGGAACCCTGGGGAACACCACATGTGACTGGGAGATGGAGGGAGTCGCTGTCAGAAATGGACACATATTGCGAGCGATCCGATACATACGATCGAAACCAGGTTAGCGAATGATCATCAATACCTGAGTTTTTGAGTTTGTTCAGTAGAATGTCGTGGTCTACTGTGTCAAAGGCCTTAGCAAAATCAAGGAAAATAGCTCCAGTTAGGGCTCCTTGTTCCATGCCAGTTTGGATGTCATTGCAAACTTTTAAGAGGGCAGTTGTAGTGGAGGGATTCTGGCGAAAGCCCGATTGATCAGGGGTCAGATAGTTAAATTGTTGGTAGTACTCACAAAGTTGCGTATGCACACATTTTTCTAAGATTTTTGACAATACTGGTGTCACGATTCCGGAACCTAACACGCTAACAGGTCACAGAGAGGAAGGGTGCTATACCGATCCTTAGAGTGGCCGGGCTAAGCACGCTAAGAATAGTCAGGAGACAAGCCAAGTAAAGGGAGCCAGAAAACGGGAGAACGAGAAACAAGCCGAGGTCAAAGGAGTGGAGAAGACAGGATAACGGAATAACGAGCCAAATAATCAGTAACTGTAAGAATATTAAATAGTTAACTTGTTTATATGTATTTTATGCTTTTATAAGGTTTATAACATGATTATTGCTGACTGAAGGAATATTGAATACTTAAACTCAATATACGACATAATATGCTGACTGTGACAGACTAAGGTATTTCTTCTATAGGATGTAAGACAATGCTAAATTTCAGGATGTCTTGCCCATTCCGATTTTAAGGATATTCTTTTCCAGACGTATGCAAAAGCTTATCTTTCCATTGTCAGAATAACGTAATATAAGGAAGTAATAAATCTTATAGTCTGTACCAGGCCCGGACTGGCCATCGGGCATACCGGGCAAATGCCCGGTGGGCCGCGATGGCCGTGGGGCCGAGGCCGGCAGGGAGATCACAGGATCTCCCCGGACGGCCCCTGCAGGGCCAGCGCTACCCGAGCGCCGGCCCCGCTGTGTGCCTCCATGGGCCGGTGGGGAGATCAAAGATCTCCCTCACCGGCCCACAGACAGGGAGATGCGGCCGCCGGCTGGGTGAGGGAGGGAGAGAGGACCGGCGGAGCTCTAGCCAACAGCTCCGCCGGGTCCTCTCGCGAGATTCTGAGTGTTGCCGCGGCAACGCTCAGATCTCGCGAGAGTGAACTCTAACCTGCAGGTTAGAGTTCACTCTCACCACTGGACCACCAGGGAATGCAGCATGGTCCCCCCTCAAGGCTCCCCCTCCCAGGCAGAACGGCTCCCTCCCCCTCCCAGGCTAAAGGTAAGAAGGGAGGGGGGGGGGACATAACTTTAAAAAAAATTATTAATAAAAAAAAAATATATACTTAAAATTAATTCCCAAACAGCACCCCCAGACACACACACAGCAGACACACCCCAGACCCCAGACACACACAGCCAACTCACACACATACACACACAGCACCCCCAGACACACACAGCACCCCAGATACACACACACCCCCAGACACACACAGCACCCCCAGACACACACACACAGCACCCCAGACACACACTGCACCCCAGACACACACAGCACCCCCAGATACACACACAGCACCCCAGACACACACAGCGCACCCAAACACACACACACAGCGCACCCAAACACACACATACAGCACCCCCAAACACACACATACAGCACCCCCAGACACACACACAGCACCCCAGACACACTCACAGCACCCCCAGACACACACACAGCTCCCCAGACACACACACAGCACCCCCAGACACACACAGCACCCCCAGACACACACACAGCACCCCAGACACACACACACAGCACCCCAGATACACACACAGCACCCCAGACACACACTGCACCCCCAGACACACACTGCACCCCCCAGATACACACACACAGCACCCCCAGATACACACACAGCACCCCAGACACACACAGCGCACCCAAACACACACAAGCGCAAACACACACAGCACCCCAGACACACACACAGCTTCCCCAGACACACACACACAGCACCCCAGACACAAACCCACAGCACCCCAGACACACACACAGCTCCCCAGACACACAGCACCCCCAGACACACACAGCACCCCCAGACACACACACAGCACCTCCAGACACACACAGCACCTTAGATACACACAGCACCTCCAGATACACACACAGCACCCCCAGACACACACACAGCACCCCCAGACACACTCAGCACACCGAGAGACACACATAGCACACATATATACATATATATATATATATATATATATACACACACACACACACTACAGCACCCCTCACACTGCACACATTACGCTCCAGATACACGCTAGATCCCTTACCCTATATGCACTCTTAATCCTCTGCACACACACACACACAATCTTCTATACACACTCTGGGTCCTTTACACACTAGATCTCTTACACACACACAGTGCACCACCTACACACACACTACATTCCTTGTAAGGAAACACATACAACATTCTCTAAACACACCCTCTCTACAACCCCTACACACACTACATCACCTATACACACACTACTGCCCGTATGCACACACTCGCTACATCCCCTATAACACTATGCCCCTATACACACACTCTACAGCCCATAGCCACACATATTACACCACACATATTACACCTATTTACACAATACCACACCACACTCTACACACAGGCAATCCCACAAGCAGGCGCCAAACACATGCACCATACACTTTCCTGGCCCTTTTGTCCTCTGGTATCCCACTTGTGGAGACACCAGAGACAATTTAAAAGCAAACACAGCGCAAGCATGTTATTACATTTGCTTGCGCTGCGCAGAACAAATACAGGGCCTTTTTCTAAAGCCAGAGCTCTTCAGCGGGGCTCTGCACATTGAACCAACATGCTCACTTTGAGAGGGGGCGTGCTTGTCATTAGTGATGACAAAACACACCCTCTCTGGCCCCGCCCCCTTCTTGGGGGGCCGCTCTAATTGAAAAATGCCCGGGCCTAATTTTTTTCCCAGTCCAGCCCTGGTCTGTACTGTATTTGCATATACCATGGCTAATGTAAGCAAACTATGTATAAAAGCCAGCTCTGGAATACACTCATTTGAGAGTCTTGTAAAGCTGTTGTCCGTGTGTTAGTGCTTACAATGATTCTCCATCAACGTTGATTATGGTGACCGAGGGATCGAGAACCGAGGGGATTAGAGTCCATTACAACATTAACCCTTTCAGCTTGGTGTCTAGAAGTGGGATGGATGGATCAGCAAAACCATTGCGGTGAGTAGCCTTTTTGTGTCTTATTGACGCTGATTGTCTATGACCCCCGTTTGGTTCAGTAAGACTGTATCCAGTAGATAGGAAAGGTGTAAGGACTCTAGTTATATTGAGACTATAAGAGGTCTCCGGTTTATTAGACATTTGGTCTAAATATATATAGGGGTTCTTGGTAACCCAGGTTAGTATCTAAGATAGATACAGGTTTTTGAGACCATAAGAGGTCTCCGGTTTATTATAGGGTTTTGGTAACCCAGGTTAGTATCTAAGATAGATACAGGGTATCTCAGGTAGATACAGGTTTTTGAGACCATAAGAGGTCTCCGGTTTATTAAGTCTATAGGTGTTCTGAGCAGCACGGTTTGTAGATCTATAAGTATAACCCAAACTTCTCTTTCTCCCGGTCACCTTTGTTTGTCTTAAGTGTTTTTTGTGGGTGATTGATTGTCTATATTGGGGACACACTTTGGTAAGTTAGTAGTGTCCCCACTCTGAATCAGCAGTATGGGAAATGTGAGTTCAGGTCCTGAGTGACCAATATATGTATGTATATATGTGTATATGTATGTATATATGTGTGTGTATATGTATATGTGTATATATAAGATAGCAGTACTTTTAAACAAATGGAGGTTTTAAAAATACATAGGGATTAAGGAGAGAACGCAGGTAACTTGTTTTTCTTTGGTTTTTACCATATATTGGGGCTGATGTGTACTGTAGTCCTTGCTGCTGCCCAGTAGTGATGGGAGTGAGCGCAGGACTTATCTTTCTGCAAGATAGCAGTACTGTATATTAGAAAAGAAATGACTCACAGGTTGTACCTGATAGACCTACTTAAATCTTTTTACTTTATTCTTTCTGTCGCATAGAAGTATAAGTTTATTACTCTGTTTTATTGTAAGTTATTTCACATGGGAACTGTGTGCCTGGAATGATTGTTGCTTTAAAAATACTATAAGCCCACTACACTTATTATGAGAGTGGGATAGTGTAAATGTGTTGCATTGTTTGCATGATGAGCTCAGTATATTTTATAACTGAGACAAAAAGTCACTTCATTAGTATTTGAAAGTTAATTCCCCATATGGGATTAATTGTATAGAAACACCAATCAGCACATCTTCCCTGCCCTGTGTGTTTGTTGCAAAGGATCCATACTGTAAATATGATTTTTGTTTGAAAATAAGAGAGCAACATTTACATTTTCAGCGGTCCAACACATGCTTTATTTTGCACTGTAAACTAACCTTTTTATTGCAACAGGTTCCTTTTAAATGATCCAGTGTAATAACTACTGCTTGTGTCTTCTATGTCTCACATTATGTGTTCTTTTAAATTGTGGTATATAGCCTGAATCAGACATCATGGACAAAGGTTTTTACCTGTGTTACTAAGGGCTCTTGGAGACTGACCGGTCTAAAGGTTTGCCATGCCTTTAAAACATGGTATAGTATAAATTTTTAAGTCTCTGAGAGTTCTGAAAGATTCAGGTGAAACCATGTCTGTTTAATCTGGTCCAGATGTTTGTTCAATTTCTGTAAGATTTAAGTTGATGCAGCATCATCTCAGATTAGTTAATGGTAGTTTTATACAAATAGTTGAGTTATGAGCGCGCTATATAAATGGATCCTTTCTTTAAATATAATACTATAGTAGATTAAAGTAATGAAGTTAATTAAGAAAATGTACACATAAGAATCCCTAAAATAAATCTAAACTAAAATTGGTATACCTTCCAATAATATGTTCTGAATACAGCTGTTAACTGTTTATTCTGTGTAAATGGTGATTGTGATAATGTGTGATAAGTGTGCAGTTTAACTTGAAAGTGGTTTAATTTATATGTTGCTGTATTGTTTTAAATTATATGTGAATCAGTTTGTCACAGTCTAGTGATACTGATAAGAATGACAGCCAAATAACCTAGCAAATAACTGTTTTATTAGTTGTTGAATACTAGCGTTTTGGCCAAGAATAGTTGGAGATTTGGAGGTGTTAGTTTAAGATTGCTTTTATATTGTGTCTATCCGTGTTTCCTAGGAGGGAGACAGAGTGTGTAGTTGTGTGCCCATAAATGTGATTTCTGTATTGGCATATCTGCTGGGTACCCATTATGTGTTTCTACAAAGATATTGCTTTGTGAGATGACGTGTAATATTACATTGGATGCTGAGTATGAGTTATATGGTTTGAAATGAATTGGTGATTATGAGCTTAGTACTTCATTAAGATGTGCTAAAATTTGGAACAAGGTGGAAGCTGAAATGTTGGGATTATGGAAGAATAGGTAGTCTATATTCACTGCTTTGGCATATAAGCAAGATGCAAAGGAAGAGATTGGTAATATGATTTTTGTAAATACATTTTACAAGTGTTGAAAGGATGAGGCAGGTTTGATGTCTGGAGATGATATAGATCTCTTTAAAATACAGTCATGCCTTGGTAATATGTTGCCACAGTATTCTTTGCTTGTGAAACAATTGATTTCAGACTGGGCCAATTTGGATAGCTCAGATTTTCTTACCAAGGTTATAGAAAAGGAAAATGCAGGTTGTTTTGAATTAAGAAAAGATTTAGGAAAGTACGGTTGCTTATTATGCTCAGGGATTGCCACCTACACAGGCTGAGAGCAAGGATGGGATGGAGCACATAAAGCCCGTGGAAGGGGTGGTCAAAGAGGGGCAAGGTGATGGAGACAGGGAAATCAGGGTTATAGGGGCAGGGGTAACCAAGGAGGAATAGACAGGAACACTTGTTTCAACTGTGGACAATATGGCCACTGGAGGAATGAGTGTCCACACCCCAGGAAACCCCACACACCCCAACAACCCCACAATTCTCAAAATATGCCCGGTAGGCAAGAACAACACCAGACCCACTCCCAACACCACTGGCCAGCATATCGCTTAGTTCAGGACTTTAGAGCCCTGAATAGTTTAATTGTGCCCATTTCACCCATTGTCCCTGATGTGACATCCCTCATTACAGCCATTCCACATGATGCCACTTGCTTCACTGTCATTGATTTAAGTAATGCATTTTTTTCTATACCTATTGATCAAGAGACACAGCTACTTATGGTTTTTACTTTTTGAAGGCTGTCAGTTTACCTGGACACGCTTACCCAAGGCTATGTGTGTTCCCCAGCTGTTTATTCGTTGGTACTCCAACATACTCTAAAAAACATGGACCACCGGTCATGGTTCCGTCCTTTTTGCAAAATGTTGATGATTTGTTGTTATGTAGCCCTAGCTCTGAGGCAAGCACTGTGGATACTGTCAGCAACTATAGGTCACAAGGTTGTTAAACACAAAATGCAATTGTGTAAATCAAAGGTTGAATACTTAGGTTTTGTTCTGGCTTTAGGCACCAGACAATTGAGTCCAAAACGTATTGAGGTCATTCAGAGGATTCCTACACCCACTACTCGGAAGGAGTTGCTCACCTTCCTCGGCATGATTAATTACTGCCACCAATGGATCCCTGAATGCTCCCATTATGACTCAATCCTAAGGGAGGCTGTACGTTCTGACAGCCCTGAAAATATCTGCTGGTCACCAGACATGCTAGCTGCATATATTGCCCTTACAGTTGTTATTGTGCAAGCCCAGGCTTTAGGACTACCTGTGTATTGTAAACCATTTCATTTGTATGCTTGGGACAATTGTAAAACCATGGCCGCAGTCTGTGCACAAGAGCAAGGAGGCGGTATGCGTCCCATAGCATTCTTTTCCAAAGTAGTTCGAGCTCCGGTACAGGGTATGCCGGCGTGTCTCAGAGCATTGATAGCATGTGCAATGGCTGTTGAAACTGCTACTACTATCACACTAGGGCATCCTACAATACTTCATGCCAGTCACCAGGTCACTCAGCTGATGACAAATCTCACCACACAACACATGACAGCCCAGCGCTTCAGTGGTTATGAGATTCTTTTTTTTAAATACCCAGAATCTGTCTTTTGGATTAAACAAGGTTTAGAGAAAGATCAAAATGATCTGTTCTCTAAAGAGGGGAGAATAGGCATACTTGAAGAATAGGCATACTTGAAGCAAGCTGATTTATTTTCATCAGTCAGGCACATAGCAAGCACCATTCAATTCTTCATGAATTCATTTTATATTAGGAATCTCAGGCAGCATGTACAGTCTTTTGTAAGATCGTGTGAACGCTGCTCTTTTTACACACTTACAGATTGATTTTATTCATGTATCCAAAATTGGTAAGAAACAGCAATACTTACTGGTCATAATTGATCAGTTTAGTAGATGGCATGAGGCCTTTGTGACATCTAGGGAAGATTCTAGTGAAGATTATTGTTACTGAAATTATTCCCAGGTATGGCTGCCCTCTGCAGATTGGCTCTGATAATATCCCAGTATTTGCAAGTGGGGTTGCCCAGGAACTTGCTAAATTCTTGCAAGTTACCTGGCAGTTTCATATACCCTATCATCCACAGAATACAGGGGTAGTTGAAAGGATGAATAGGACTATTAAGGAAAAGCCCAGAATTTACCCAGGAACATGGGTAAATTGGACTAGATATCTACCAGCTATTTTAGCTGAGATAAGAATATATCCCCACAAGGTGACTAAATTATCTCCATTTGAGATTTTGATGGGATGACCTTTTCCCACACCCTGGGCCAGGGAACCGCTTGTTATAATGTCTGGGGATTTACAGCTAATACAAGAACAATATGTACAGGAATTGTTGATAAAACCGAATGGTATGTATGACAATGTTTCTTCGCAGTTTTCCCTTACCTTCACAGGAACCTACTCATTCATACCAGCCCAGGGACAAGGTGTATATACGTCAGCTGAACAGGACCAAGAAAAGAGGATACCCTTTTGGACCACCTGCTACAGTGATTGTTGTACCCAGAACCGCTGTCCTCACAGATTCCCATGACATCTGGATTCACGCATCCCAAGTGAAGCTGTGTCCAAAGAGGGGAACCAAGGAAGACAACACCACTCCTCACTCGGAAACAGAAGAATTTCTCCTCAGCGAAGCATCATGGCTTTTACACCATATCATAGATTGAGAGGATCATACGTACCTGAGACCAAGATTATGTTGTGTGCTATGCTTTCTGGAGTTGTTATACTCCCTCTGATATTGTTCATTGAATGCCATTATGAGTACAAGTCAATGGCAAGTTTGAAACCTGTTTGTTTCTGGAAAAAGACTCTGACATGATGAACAATTCTTCAATACCCCCAGCCCAATTAGGCCTTAGCTCCTCATCTAGCATTCGTCACACACACCCCCTCAAGAACCTTTCTCCACCACCTTTCTATCAGCATGCAATATGCAATCATTCATTGACTGAACGCATTTGGATGAATTGGACAAATAGTAACCCTTATAAGTACCAGTTACCCATATGAAATGTGTCTACAGCTAATGAAACCGATGCATTATGTTTGTTTAAAGGTTCACAGAAAATTGTTAGATCTTATAACGCAGAAATGTGCACAGTTAAGGTTGCATATCAATGTAAACAGACAGGCCTTATTACTTTTAATAATGATTATATAACTGGTATCATTAATTGGAAAAGGGGACAAATGTTAGTCATTATGAACGACACTACAATTGAGAACTATACACTACCTTATATTTTTACACCTTATTACTGTCCTTTATCCTCTACCATAGAACCAAAAGTCAACAACGACACACACACACCTATTCCGTCCACATGTATTAATACAACTACCTTCTTACAAGCTGTACATGTGTCATTAAAAATCACTACTCCTGTTGTAACATTATGTAAGACAGCAAACAAAAGGCAGAAAAGGGAATGGTATGACACACTGTTAGGAGGTGCTGGAACCACTATGGGTATACTAAATAGTTATAGATATGGAGACCCTCAAGAATAAGTTAAACACAGCCAGCATGCATATAGGGACTGGTTTCCATGCTACTGCAAACTGGGCTCCAACTGTTGTTAAATCACAGGTTACAGGATTGGATTTAGATAAATCAATGCTAATTATTTAGATAATTTAACTGTTGCAACTATGAAATTCACTACAGGTCTAAGTAACTGGAGTACTTGTGCCATCAGGTATTTATGGATACAACAACAAGGATTGGCATTAGAAAACGCACTAATGATTCCTCAACTAGAGAAGATTAGAGGAAAGCGTAACCTCACAGATAATGAATGGTTACTTCTAAAACCCCAATCCACTAAATGCAATGAATGGTTAACTGGTAATGTTTCACATTTTTCACGCTCATGCTATTTTACATTATATCATACATCATCAAAGGATGTTAAATTAGCTTGTCAATTTAACACATTACCAGTACCAGTTTATGATCTTTTTGCCAAGAATTTAACCTGGTGGGCACCCACATACACAGGGGACTATATTTTTCTCAAAGATAACACACACAGGTAGCCACACATATCCTAAAAGGAGAACTCCTTAAGGTGAGTTCACAAATTCAGAATGATTTGGCCCATCATTGGTACAATGCTTTACTGGTTGGTCCCCTACTGGATCTCAGATAATGAAATCATTCTTCTATCCTTTTGTTATTATAGTCCTGATTTTATTGTGTATGATTTTATATAACTGTCACCTTACTTGTACATTGAGGAAGAGAGTACAGAAATGAATCTATAATGCAGAACAGAAACAATTAGAAATTCTCCTCTCTGCCACTGGAGGGTATCAACCCATCTTTAAACTGGGCCTTAGGAATTACCACATGGGAATCGAGGTGAAGAAATTAATGAAAGTCCCGCAGGGAGTGACTAGCACCCCTGAAAATACCATGTGGAGGTTTCTCTGTCCTGGTAAGATTTTATCGATAAGATGAGCAATTTTTTTATTGCTCAAAGAGGGGAATGTAAGAATATTAAATAGTTAACTTGTTTATATGTATTTTATGCTTTTATAAGGTTTATAACATGATTATTGCTGACTGAAGGAATATTGAATACTTAAACTCAATATACGACATAATATGCTGACTGTGACAGACTAAGGTATTTCTTCTATAGGATGTAAGACAATGCTAAATTTCAGGATGTCTTGCCCATTCCGATTTTAAGGATATTCTTTTCCAGACGTATGCAAAAGCTTATCTTTCCATTGTCAGAATAACGTAATATAAGGAAGTAATAAATCTTATAGTCTGTACTGTATTTGCATATACCATGGCTAATGTAAGCAAACTATGTATAAAAGCCAGCTCTGGAATACACTCATTTGAGAGTCTTGTAAAGCTGTTGTCCGTGTGTTAGTGCTTACAATGATTCTCCATCAACATTGATTATGGTGACCGAGGGATCGAGAACCGAGGGGATTAGAGTCCATTACAACATTAACCCTTTCAGTAACCAGAGAGCAAGACGAGAACACTACGCTACAGGTATCACAAGACCACAACAGGGCACTGAGGGACAGGAAAGGTAAGTATAAATACCCTTGGTTTAATTCTGATTGGATAAATTCCAATCAGAATTAACAATCACACGTGGGGGATATCTATACCTCCCACTGTGATTGTGGTACTGTTCCTTTAACGCCGGGTCAATCACGTGACCCCGGCGTTTACATAGTTCAGTGACCTCCCAGCGTGCAGCGTTATACATGCTGCCGCTGGGGGGCGTGGAAGACGCGGGCGGCGAGCGGCAGAGAGGAGACGCCGCTCGCCGACAGGTAAGCAGAGGGGAGACCGCGGGCGGCGATGGACTGAGGGTGAGTGCTGCAAGTGGCGTGCAGCCTCCCCTCCTAGCGCCCGCGGATCCCTGACATAACCCCCCCCTCGAGGCCCGCCCAACAGGGGGGAAGCCGAAGGCTTCAAAGGGAACCGCGCATGAAAGGAGCGGATCAAAGAGGGCGCATTCAAGTCAGAGGCAGAAACCCAGGACCACTCCTCAGGGCCGTAACCCTTCCAATCAACCAGATACTGCAACCGACCCCGAGAAAAATGAGAATCAAGCAGAGCAGCCACTTCGTACACGTCATTAGAGACAGCGCGGAGGGAATCTGGACGCCTGAGAGGACCAGAGAATCGATTACAGAGCAGGGGCTTCAAAAGGGAGGTGTGGAAAGTGTTAGGTATACGCATGGAAGGAGGCAAGGCCAGGGAGTAGGACACAGGATTGACCCTACGCAATACCTTACAGGGGCCAAGGAACCTGGGCGCGAATTTCATTGAGGGGACCCTGAGGCGGAGATTCTTAGAGGACAACCAAACCCTATCACCCGGGACATAAGAGGGAGCAGCACCCCTACGACGATCAGCAAATCTCTTCTGAGTAGCAGTCGAACGAGAAAGAGTAGCATGGACCTGATCCCACATCTTCCGTAAGGAGGTGAGGTGCTCGTCCAAAGCGGGTATTCCCTTGTCGGAGAACACGCCGGGAAGGACAGAGGGTTGGAACCCATAAGCAACCATAAAAGGACTTAAGCCAGTGGACGAATGAGTCACAGTGTTCCTGGCGAATTCAGCCCAAGGAAGGAGGTGAGACCAGTTGTCCTGGTGTGCATTCGTGAAGCAACGTAAATATAACTCCACAGATTGATTCGCCCGTTCGGCCGCTCCATTAGATTGTGGATGATAGGAGGAAGTAAACGACAAGGAAATCCCCATCTCAGCACAAAAGCCCCTCCAAAACCGAGAGACAAATTGTGGACCCCTGTCAGATACGATATCCTGTGGTATACCATGCAAGCGGAAAACCTCTTTGGCAAATACCTGAGCCAACTGAACCGCAGAAGGTAGTTTCTTAAGTGGAATAAAGTGTGCCATTTTAGAGAATCTATCAGTCACAGTCAAAATTACTGTCATTCCATCGGATGAAGGAAGATCCACAATAAAGTCCATGGATAAGTGGGTCCATGGTTTCTTGGGTACGGATAAAGGCATTAGGAGTCCCGGGGGTTTGACATTAGGGGACTTACACTGTGCACAAACACGACAAGCCTGCACATAATCCACCACGTCTTGCTTAAGTGAAGGCCACCAAAATTGTTGAAGGAGACCCTTGTATGTTTTGGTAACCCCTGGGTGGCCAGCCGTTTTGGCGGTGTGAAATAAAGCTAACAATTTCTTTCTATCTTTTTCTTTCACGTATAATCTACCAACAGGTGTCTCAGAGGGTGCTTGGGTTTGGTATGCCTTGATACCATCAAGGAAAAGAGACGAAATAACTAAACGGGTAGCAGCTATTATCTTAGACGTGGGTACAATGGGTTCAGGAGTGGGGGCGATAGACTCCAAAGGTTCGTATTGTCGGGAGATAGCATCAGCCTTGACATTACGGTACCCAGGCCTATATGTGATAATGAACTGAAAGCATGAAAGAACTAAGGACCATCTGGCTTGACGAGAGGACAACCTTTTAGCATCAGCTATATAGGAGAGATTCTTATGATCAGTTATAACCAGGATTTTGTGACTAGCTCCTTCTAATAAGTACCTCCACTCTTTAAATGCCATCACAATAGCTAATAGTTCCCTATTCCCGACGTCGTAATTCTTTTCCGAATCAGACAGTTTTTTAGAAAAGTAACAACAGGGATGGAGGGGTTCGTTATAGGATAATCTTTGTGATAATACAGCTCCTATACCTGATTCTGAAGCGTCTACTTCCATTATAAAGGGAAGGGAAGGATCAGGATGGTGTAGCACAGGGGCAGTGGCAAATGCCTTTTTGAGAGTTTAGAAGGCTTTGATGGCTTCAGGAGTCCAAACCCTGGGGTGCAAACCCTTTTTAGTTAGTTTCGTGATAGGAGAAATGACCAATGAAAAGTTTTTAATAAACCTGCGATAATAATTGGCAAAGCCTATAAATCGCTGTATTGCCTTAAGGCCTTGAGGGAGAGGCCAAGACAATATGGCTTCTAATTTAGAAGGATCCATGCTGAACCCCTGTTCAGAAATGACGTACCCTAGGAATTGTACTGATTTCTGGTCAAATAAACATTTCTCCAATTTACAATAAAGACCGTTCTGTAGCAATCTCTTAAGTACCTTCCTCACATGGGCATGATGTGACTCCAAATCAGGAGAGAATATGAGTATATCATCGAGATAAACCACAGCACAGACATGCAGTAGATCTCTAAGGACATCATTTATGAGGTCCTGAAAGACAGCAGGAGCATTACACAGTCCAAAAGGCATGACTAGATACTCGTAATGCCCACTGCGTGTATTGAACGCTGTCTTCCATTCATCATTTTCTTTTATCCGAACCAAGTTGTAAGCCCCCCTGAGGTCTAGTTTAGTAAAATATCTAGAATCTTTAACACGGTCAAACAACTCAGTAATGAGAGGGATAGGATAAGCATTTTTAATTGTTATATTATTCAGGCCCCTATAGTCTATACATGGTCTCAAATCGCCCTCTTTCTTGGCAACAAAAAAGAAACCAGCACCAGCCGGAGAGGAGGACCTTCAGATAAAACCTTTACGTAAGGATTCCATTATGTACTCCACCATGACCTGGTTTTCTTTCTCAGAAAGCGGGTAGACCTTACCCCTAGGAGGCATCGTTCCAGGTAACAAATTTATGGCACAATCATAATCCCGGTGTGGGGGTAGTTTATCAGCTTCCCTCTTTTCAAAGACCAATGCGAGGTCTGCATACACAGGAGGGACAGAAACAGAAAGTGGTTTAGCTGTAGGCACATTAAGTAAACAAACGGGATGTAAACGGGCCATACAGTCTTGTTGACAAGATACCCCCCAGGAGAGTATATCTAGAGAATCCCAATCGAGTACCGGGTTATGCTTAACTAACCAGGGAAAACCCAGAATGATGGAAGCTGTAGGGGAGTCAATTATTTGGAAGGCTATCCTTTCTTTGTGTAAGGCACCCACGACCATAACCATTTCTTGGGTTTCATGGGTCACCAGAGGTTTATCAAGTGGTCTACCATCTATGGCCTCAATGGCCAAGGGTGTGGCCTTTTGGATCAGATTCAAGGCTGCGGTTTTAGCAAAGTTCTCATCCATAAAGCTGTCTGCAGCACCTGAATCGATCAAGGCTTTAGTTGTTATCGTGGTTTTATTGACCAAAAGAGTAACCGTAATAAATGGTCTGGAGATGGACATATGAGGGGAAAAAACCATAACACTCGAGGCCGACCCCTCTCTAGGCCTTAGGTGCTGGAGTTTCCCTGCAAACTAGGACAGTTTCTTCGGAGATGCCCCCTCTTACCACAATAAAGGCATAAACCCTCCCTTCTGCGGTACGTTCTTTCAGCTTCAGATAAGCCTACAGCACCTAATTGCATGGGTTCAGGAGGTGGTTGATTAGGGGGAGGTAATGCTAGCAATGCAGTACTGGGTAAAGCAGGTAACCCCTGGGAGCCTGCTGTAGGTAAATTGCCGACCGCTGCGGGGTCGCCGTTCGTGCAAACGAACACATGGTGACAGCCATCTTTGTTCATTTTAACACGGTCAGTGGTGTGTGTAGCCAAATTCATGGAGCTGAAATTGGCTACACAGTTCAACGAACACCGCTTACTTACCTTCTCCTACACTCAGTTTTCAGCTACAGAGGCTAAGTCCCGTTCGGCTGTTTGAACTCACTGCTATACTGAGCCAAATGCACGAACGACCCCGTTCGTGCATTCGAATGGGACTTAGTAATTTTTCTGCCTGAAATAGACCGACTACACAGGTCAAATCTATGGAACTGTTTTGGGCAGGAAAATGTGCTTGCGGTCGGTCATAAAGGACTTCCAGCTAACTTTTTATCTACTGGAGGGATTTGCCTGATTTTTGAGAGTTTATGTTTAAAGTATGCTGATTAATAATATGTGGAGATTGGATGTGTAGTTTTAAAGTTGCAGTGTATGTATAAAAAGTATATTTTTCCTGCCTGTGATAATTACATTAACCCATTGTGTACAGTAATTATATCATAGGCAGAGGGGAGGATTTTGTGGGAATGGGAGTGTTTTACTGTGTCTTATGTGTTTATTGGTTGTTCTTCTAAACCCCGTGGGCGGTCCTGTATGTGTAAGACCTCCATAAAAGAAAGCCCTTTGGTGCCAATTAAAGAGACCTGCTTACCCCTTCATGAAGTCTTGACTCATGTTTGGGGGATTGGGAGAATTGCCTACACTCTGGGGATTGCTATAATCACATACCCCCCAGAGTAAGAGCTTATTTTGCTCCTGGTTCCTGCTCTCTGGATTTAGGAGAGTTTCACCCACTATAAACTGGATCCTGGCCTTGGATCCAGGGTGGGTGAGAGACGGCGAGACCCTGGCGCAGCTGAATCGCTGGAAGTGTGGTCTGCAGTGCTGATGGTGTCGGTTGGAGTGCTTGGAGTCCTCGGCAAGCGCTAGGAGCATCGATTGGCGGAGGTACTCGGTCGGGGTGCCAGGCGATCCATTACATATAACAAAAGGTTAAAATCCTTACTTGGTAAGTGGTGGGTTTTGCTTGCAAAGCTACCCACATCAAAGCATATACACTGGCAAAGAAACAAAAACACTTCCTGATTCCGTCCGTCCCGATCACGTGATCAGCTTCCGGGTCCGCCCCTCTAGTGACGAATGTGTGGCGCGTTTCGCCTGCCTCCACAGGCTTCCTCTGACATCGTCAAAGTGATCCAGCCCTCTCTTTTAAGTGACCATCTCCTCCCCTCTGTTGCTCCATTGGTCGGGGGCGTGGTCTATTCGGCATCATGTTACCAGGACGGACGGAATCAGGAAGTGCTTTTGTTTCTTTGCCAGTGTATATGCTTTTATGTGGGTAGCTTTGCAAGCAAAACCCACCACTTACCAAGTAAGGATTTTAACCTTTTGTTATACAATAAACATATTTGATATTATCCAGTTGGAGGTCCTGCCTCTCTCTATCCTCTATCCTGCACAGCCATATCAAGCTTTCCGTGGATACATTGATTGGAGTCCTCTTTAGCGTGGGAATATTCCCTCTCCAGGGGAGCTTTGAAAACCCAGAGCCAGGAGTGATGGGGCCCTGGTACATGTGAGTTCTCTCTCTCATATACCCTAGTTGTATGTAGGTTAATCTAGATAATCTAGATAATCTGCACTATTATTTGTGTCTCTGTCTATTTACAGACCATTTAGCACACTTTTTTTTTTTTTGTATTCTGTATATATTTTTGTGTATCACTGTTTTTAGTCCTGCTTATTTGGCTGTACTACATTCCACAGCGCTTGTACACCTTTGGTTTCTTTGATTATATTTTGTTCCCCATTCATCCGAAGAGAGTACTGAACACCAACCACCCCCCTGCCTCATTAAATTCAAACAAACCACAGGAATTCAGTGCTCTCTTTGTCACTTTGTCTCATGAAAGCAGACAGCGGGACTTAGTCGTCAAGTGCCTGGAACTCTGAGGCGGCCACTCAACGACCTGAACACCGGTGAAAACATACGAATGCCTGCTTCTGTTCGCAGCAAGCCAGGAGAGCGCTGTTCGACAGATTGTTCGACTAGATCTCCCAAACAAACTCCACACTATGAGCCAGGGGACCCGTTCCCCTTTTTGATTCATTCACCTTTAATTTCATATAAAAACTCTCGAACTAGACCAACCGCTACCCCTGAAAATATGGAACTATTTCTGGGCAAACATCTCCAGAGCGGTCAGTCAATTTTTCACCCCAGGGGCGATTCGACTATGTTTGTTTGATCTGAGCGCTTTTCGGATATGCTGTGTGCGCAAATCCAAGCTATCTGGGGAAGGGTAGACTTTGGGGGTTCGGTTATACAAAATATGACTTTATGTATTTTAAAGTGTTTTTGTGAGATTGTAAAAAAAATGAATATTTTCTGTACCTGGAGGTAATTGAGTTTAATACAGCAACTTAACCTGATTATCTTCCATTTACAGAGGAGGGAATATACTGTTTATGTGGGAGTGTCCTGGACCTGGGAGTCAATTACATTGGGTGATTATTTTGTGCTACTGTCCCCACTCAGGTCCGGGGGGGAGTGCCCCTTGCACGGGGATCTGCATAAAAGGCCAGCTGTGGCTTCCATTAAACACAATGCTTTACCCCTTCATGAAGTCTTGGCTTATGTTTGGAAGATAATCATGTTAGGGAGTTATAATCACTTCAACTTCTTCTATGCTTGGATTTCGGGAGATTCTTTACGGATATACTCAGCCGGAGTATAGGGGATCCGTTACATACTCAAAAGATTTTTATGCACGAATTTAAACAAATGTATAATGTATTAATACACAAGACGTACGCACGAATACAGAGAGCCTACCCCCGCAAAAAGGCCTGAACGGCAGGAATTGAAGCCCATGGAATAGCAAAGCTAGGTGGAATGGGCCTTGACAGAGCTAGGAGGCTGGCCTATGGATGAGTGTGTCTGGATTGGTTAGTGGGTAAAAGGGGGAGTGGCTTAGACATATAATAATTCGCCATTTTAAATTTGGGTTCCATTTTAATTTGAAATCTTTACCTGGTCGGTTTTTGGTAAGTGGGATAGGTCAGGAGGAATACTTACCTTTAGATGTGGTGGTAGGTTCGAGCTCGGCGGTAGCTATGAACCTGGGGGTGTAGGGGTGTCTCGGTATGCCCCTACACTGGAAATGGATGCCCTTGGTGGCTGGGATAATGGTGTAGGGGTGTCTTGGTATGCCCCTACAGTGGAAAGGGATGCCCTTGGTGGCTATGATAATGGCGTAGGGGTGTCTTGGTATGCCCCTACAATTGGAAATGGAGGCCCTGGGTGGCTATGTTAAGGTTTATGGTATTTATGCTATGTTATACTGTTAGTTGGATGTATTCTGTAAATATGTTGGAGGTCATTGTCTGGGTATTTAGTTATGTTAATTGGGGGGATGTCTTTTCAAGCGTTGTTGACAATGACCTTTTAAATTTATATTTTATTATTTATATATATTTAATAAAGCCGTGGAATATTTTGCCAATTCATTCATGTGTCTGTGATTATTAAAGGTTATAATTGGTTTATAACAGGAATAGGCCAAAAAGACGACTATGCGCATGTCAAGTGCAAACGCGACCATTCCCACCTGTTGCCTGAAAGTGTTCATGAGATCTGCCAGGTAGTGATCTCTATGTTCGGCGGATTTCTTGGGTAAACTCCAACAAACTGGATTGCGAGGAGACCTGAAGGAGCTGAATTTGGTGGGAGATTTGAACGAAGACTGGAACCAGAAATGCAGGTATCCAGGAGACGAATTAACTGAACGGCACGGCAAAGGAAAGCAGGGGGTGTGGGTTTTTATAGGACCTCCCACAAATACAGTCCTTTGGCCTTTAAACATATACAGGGAGTGCAGAATTATTAGGCAAGTTGTATTTTTGAGGATTAATTTTATTATTGAACAACAACCATGTTCTCAATGAACCCAAAAACTCATTAATATCAAAGCTGAATATTTTTGGAAGTAGTTTTTAGTTTGTTTTTAGTTATAGCTATGTTAGGGGGATATCTGTGTGTGCAGGTGACTATTACTGTGCATAATTATTAGGCAACTTAACAAAAAACAAATATATACCCATTTCAATTATTTATTATTACCAGTGAAACCAATATAACATCTCAACATTCACAAATATACATTTCTGACATTCAAAAACAAAACAAAAACAAATCAGTGACCAATATAGCCACCTTTCTTTGCAAGGACACTCAAAAGCCTGCCATCCATGGATTCTGTCAGTGTTTTGATCTGTTCACCATCAACATTGCGTGCAGCAGCAACCACAGCCTCCCAGACACTGTTCAGAGAGGTGTACTGTTTTTCCTCCTTGTAAATCTCACATTTGATGATGGACCACAGATGATGGACCACAGGTTCTCAATGGGGTTCAGATCAGGTGAACAAGGAGGCCATGTCATTACATTTTCTTCTTTTATACCCTTTCTTGCCAGCCACGCTGTGGAGTACTTGGACGCGTGTGATGGAGCATTGTCCTGCATGAAAATCATGTTTTTCTTGAAGGATGCAGACTTCTTCCTGTACCACTGCTTGAAGAAGGTGTCTTCCAGGAACTGGCAGTAGGACTGGGAGTTGAGCTTGACTCCATCCTCAACCCGAAAAGGCCCCACAAGCTCATCTTTGATGATACCAGCTCAAACCAGTACTCCACCTCCACCTTGCTGGCGTCTGAGTCGGACTGGAGCTCTCTGCCCTTTACCAATCCAGCCACGGGCCCATCCATCTGGCCCATCAAGACTCACTCTCATTTCATCAGTCCATAAAACCTTAGAAAAATCAGTCTTGAGATATTTCTTGGCCCAGTCTTGACGTTTCAGCTTGTGTGTCTTGTTCAGTGGTGGTCGTCTTTCAGCCTTTCTTACCTTGGCCATGTCTCTGAGTATTGCACACCTTGTGCTTTTGGGCACTCCAGTGATGTTGCAGCTCTGAAATATGGCCAAACTGGTGGCAAGTGGCATCGTGGCAGCTGCACGCTTGACTTTTCTCAGTTCATGGGCAGTTATTATGCGCCTTGGTTTTTCCACACGCTTCTTGCGACCCTGTTGACTATTTTGAATGAAACGCTTGATTGTTCGATGATCACGCTTCAGAAGCTTTGCAATTTTAAGAGTGCTGCATCCCTCTGCAAGATATCTCACTATTTTTGACTTTTCTGAGCCTGTCAAGTCCTTCTTTTGACCCATTTTGCCAAAGGAAAGGAAGTTGCCTAATAATTATGCACACCTGATATAGGGTGTTGATGTCATTAGACCACACCCCTTCTCATTACAGAGATGCACATCACCTAATATGCTTAATTGGTAGTAGGCTTTCGAGCCTATACAGCTTGGAGTAAGACAACATGCATAAAGAGGATGATGTGGTCAAAATACTCATTTGCCTAATAATTCTGCACTCCCTGTATATATATATATATATATATATATATATATATATATATATACTTTATTTTACAATTTGAAAAAAAATCTATTTATTTTCAAAACTTTATGAAAGTATTTTTATATTAAAGAATAGTTGACAATTGTGCTTTAATTAATAAAAAAAATTAAGAACGAAATCAGAAACACAAATGGGAAATGTTTGTGGTTAAATTAAATAGATCTATCTGAATAGATTTTATTAAAATGTAAGAACAAAATCAGAAACACAAATGGGAAATGTTTGTGGTTAAATTAAATAGATCTATCTGAATAGATTTTATTTGCTGCAAGATATACTTGCATTTTGGACATATTGAAAATAAATCACAAGAATTGTTTGACACTGATCACATGAAATAGACTAGAATGTTTTGAAGGGTAATTCCAACCCTTTTGAGGGGGGGAACCTTTATGGTATAAAAATCCCTATTGGGTATTTATGGTCCCCCATCCGTCCATTAGCAGTATAACCTGAAAAATAAAACTTTTATTTACTTGGAATCTAGTGTCGGACGAAACTCACAGCGCTGTATTCTACGATCCTCCAATGTCAGTGGCGCCTCACATGGTCCAATCACAGACTTCTTATAGAAAAGCCTGTGATTGGACTGTTTTGCCTGATAAAAACGCATTCCTACACTTTGGGCTGGCAAGGGAGGGTTTGGAGAGGAGGAGAGATTTAAAACCAAACACAAAAAACAATGTTATTAATGTATGGAGGTGGGAGGGAATGCAGAGTGGGAAGGCGGGAGAGGTAAGCAATATTTCCCTTGCAGGTGCTCTGTCTGCAAGGGGAAGATTATAGTTTATGATGCATGTCTCCTACATAGGAAAAAGTATTGCTATATAAGAGAGTTGAGTAACACATATCCCTCCTGTCTGTTCTAATAGAGTGTCTGAAACCAGAACCATTACAGCTTAATGCAGTGGCTCTGGTGCAAAGAGGCTGCCCCTGCAATTTCTCAATTGAGAACACTGACTTTTCTGAGAAAAGACTGTGTATACAATGAGCTGTAAGGACATTCAGACAGCCATTTGAGGCGCTACCTATGGTAGACCTTCAATCAGGGCCAATCCTGGGCGGATGAAATTATGTGTGTCAGTGTGCGTGTGTGTCTGTTGGTGAGTGCTTCCAATCAGTGAGAGTGTGTGTCTGTCATTGAGAGTGTGTCTGTCAGTGAGAGAGTGTCTGATTACAAAAAGGGGTGGGGCTTATAGATGGAGCGGTAGAATTGTCGCCAAAGAAACATGCATGATTGGACACTTGCAAACGGATAGAGTTAGTAAGAAGATCACACCCACATAGTGATTAAACCATACACATATAAACCATGTATGTGGTGAATAAAACAAAAAACTAAATCAGATTGTGTACTTAATGATCCATTTATAAATCTTGTAGTGCCACTGGCACCATCCCTCTAATCTTAGTAATCATAAGAGGCTAGTCGCTCCCTTGCAGGAGTTAAACAATGACAACGGTACTGCAGTGAAGAAGATGGATGAGATTAAACTAGCTCATCTGTCTCATAAGAGTGAGAGACAGTGGTGTATTTTGAATTTGTAAAGTGCCGCCCAAGGCAAATGCCTTGTTAGCCTCGCGGTAATACACCGCTGGCGAGAGAGCGAGACTAATTTGATCTCATCCATCTTACTCCTTACTCTTCATTTTACTTACCGTAATGCCCTTATCATCCTCTATACTGGAGTGTTGGTGTGAGGCATTGTGAGGAACCATTCATTCCTCAAAAAAGACAGCCCTGGCACACTCCCATAGTAATCTGTAACCTTTTTACTGGACTTTGCTGTTTGGTTGAAAGCACTCAGCTGATGGTCTCAGCCAATGGAATGTAGTCCTGCATGGTCCTGCTTAACTTATTAGAGCTCTCAAGGAGAATTTGAAAACAGAGGCTGGAGCTGCAAGCATCCACGGGGGCCCCTGTACGTTGTCATGCTGTTTTTAAAATGGTTTGACAAATTACACTAGGCGAGTACCAAGGCACTACTGGCTCCATAGCCACTACAGTGTGCTGCAATGGTTATGGTACTTGAAGTGTTCCTCTATATATATATTTAAAAATAAAAGTAAAGGTACATTTCCACTGACCTTTTGCTGTCTTCAGCTGACGGCACTGGACTGCTGTCTGGGCAGGTGGCTAGCCCGAGGTCCTGGAGTTGTCCGATGGACTTTGTTTGAGCCGGTGAGCCTGGCCCCACATCTCAACAGGTGCTAGATGTCTCACT